GGAAATTCTGAGATTAAAATGTAAGTTATCTAAACTTCTGTTAGAACTTTAATCTATGGGCTGTGGCTCATGCCTGTAATCCCATCACTTTGGGAGGCCGAGGCGGTGTATCACAAGGTGAGGAGTTCAAGACCAGCCTGGCCAAGAAGGTAAAACCCTGTCTCTACTAAAAATACAAAAATTAGCTGGGCTTGGTGGCTGGCACCTGTAATCCCAGCTACTCGGGAGGCTGAGGCAGGAGAATTACTTGAACCCGGGAGACAGATGTTGCAATGAGCTAAGATTGTACCACTGCACTCCAGCCTGGGTGACAGAGCAAGACTTTGTCTCAAAAAAAAAAAAAAAAAAAAAATTAAAAAAAAAATTAAAAAATTAAAAAAAATAGCCAAAACCATTTAATTCCTCATTTTTACTATTAAATATATTTCATCTTATGGTTCACAAAGGAGTTTATATTTAAAAATTAAAATTCAAATACCAGAGATTTAATTGATTTTCTAAACTGCTTTGCATCTTTTAGGAAGTTTATTAGAAAAAAAGGAAATTGGTACTAGCAGATTCACCATTGAGCACAGTATGTGAAAGCTTGGATATCTTCTAAAGCTGAACGATTAACAGACATGAGTTTTTCCCATACCCTAGCAATATAAATAGGTGGTGGAAACAGTATCTCATGATTTTGACAGTTGCTTCTGTTAATTAACAATTCATAATTTCACGAGTAAATATTTTGGCTACTTAAGTTCTGCTGTTCACCTCTGTATCCACCCCTTGAAAATCTTTACTAATGCTTTAAAAGAATACATCTGAATAAAAAGAAATAAATAAACCAGAAAAAAAAATCCCAAGGATCAAACTGTAAAATATATTTGTACAGTAATAGTTAATAAGAAGAAAGCATTCCAAAAGCATGTAATTTGTACAGAGCACTGTAGTATAGTGTGCTCTATACCATTTTATGTAACCTAATGGAGATAAATAGCTGTAGGTCCAAAGGTGTTAACATGGCCAGAAGCTGGTGAACGGCTCCGTCTAAAACATAAGACAGTGAAAATTTTGCTAATGCTTGAGTCAATTCATGAAATCTGCTTTCCCACCAATCTATTTCCTTAACATTTTTAGTTCTCAATTTCCAGTTTAGCCAAAGCACGTTTTTGTAGAGTAGATTAACTTTGTTCCATATACCTCCATGATGAGAATTAGAACAAGTTCCTCTTTATCAGATAGTAGAAACGTATTTGGATGCTGCTGAAATCAAATATTTAGTCAACATAAAATTTGTCATGATTTACAACTATACTATAGAAAAACAAGATTTCAACAAGTCATTACAAATTGTCCTAGAAGGGTTTGAAAGTCAGACATTAAATCAATCTTAAAATGAGTTGGGAAGTACAAGATTAGGTCAATGTAAAAAAATATTCCTAATATAGCACTAGTTGGAGTTGTGATATTTGCAAGTTGGCAGATAACTGAGAAATATAAATTATATACAATGGTTTTTATTGTTAGTGGCTGATACATTCTATAAACTTGCTGCAAACACATAATCTGTCAATATTGAGCCATTGCTCCTAGGGAAAATACAAAGTTATGGTCCCTGAAGTCTCTGGTTACAATATTTTTATCAACTGATTAATGCAATACATAACCTTGTATTTTTGTTCTCTTTGTCTAAAGACAACTTATTTAATAGACACTTTTGATTTGCAACATTGACCTTATGTCTACAGGACTGCGGCTCATTCTAGAATGAAGCTAAACTAACACATGTATTTTCTCCATAAGGCACAATCTTTTTGTCTTCTTGTGTTTAGGGAAAAGGGCCACAGTTTAGCAATATCCTTGGGGGACATTCTAAGCAGTGAAATCACCGATGAAAAGCAAAAAATGTAAAAAGTATGGCACTAAATAGATAATGAAAGGACACTTGTTTATTGTTTGTGAGCTGAAATAAGAAGGCAAGATATCACTTTGACCTCAGTTGGAAATGTGCTTATTGGACAATTCACATTTTTTACTACACTGGATATGTCTGTTTGTAGCCACAAAATTGATTTTTATATTACAAAAAGTTTTACCAAGTAGACAACTTCACAAAGAGGGAATTTGTAAGTAATGAGAATAAACTGTATATAAAAGAGAGGCAGAAATAAAATGATCATAACTTTTAATCTCCAAATTTTTTAATGTAAACTCATTGCTACCATCAGGGATTTACAAGTAAATTATTTATGGCTCAGCAACAATGCAGAAAAACAAAAATCACTCTATGTATTGCTCTACTTGCATAGACTTAAACCCCTGCGTAGGCTTAACCAAGGTGATGTGGACTCTACAGGTTTTCAAACTTCAGCGTGCATCAGATTCATCCAAAGGGTTTATCAAAACACAGACTGTGCCACTCATTCCCAGGTATAGCCTGGGACTTGAAAATTTGTACTTGCCAGGTGACAGTGATATTCAGGAACCATATTTTGAGAACCACTGGATTAGATCAAGTGTAGGTCAGGAAGACCTGTAAATCTACAAGACTTTGGCTCAAAAGAAACTGCATGTGCCTCTTTGGCCCTGTTCCTTTAGCTTCACATCTTTCATGAGACTGTGTTGCTCTCATGTCAAATATAGGAAAGTTAAGTAAAAATAAAGTAAAGGTCTGTAAAATAAAGAGCTATTCTATCTCAGTCTTGGAGCAGAATCCACCATTCCCAGGTCTCCCCAGTGCATGGGGCTTGTGTCACTTGGATGGTAGCCCAATTTTACTATATTAGATTCATAGTGGTGTTGAGAATAGTCCAAAAAGGAAATGAAATTTCAAAGTTACTAAATAGTGGGAATTCAAAGCTGAAGAAAAGCCAAAATTAATATGCCATATGAACTCAAGAGGCTTTAATCTCTCTTGGACACATTAATATTTCTAGTTCTCAACATTCTAACACTATGCACTTTAAAACAGTCCTCCTTTTAAGGGGTTGAAACACAGAATGCAGTTCTCATAATTAGGTATACAAGACGGACATAATTAAGTATCCTCTTATAATATATTTTATTATAATTTAATTATATCATATTGTTTTATCTTAGAAACAGCAATTCAATTAAAAAGATTTCTACAAAGAAATCATTAGTGCCCATAATGTCAATACTGGAATTCCAAGCAAATGACAAGAAAATAGCTTATTTTATATTCTCAGAACATTCTCAATATAGGCTTTCTGTATACTAAAGAAAAAAATGTAAATGTGCAACCACTTTTGGAATGTCTATTTGACTTTAAAAAAGCTGATGTATGGTTAGCAATATAGCACTACATATGATTTTTTAAAGATACTATCTTTTATAGTTCAAAGCCAGAAGTATACAAAGTATTATATGATTTTATTAGTATGGTCAGTTTTCTAAAAATAGATTTTCAATATATAAGGAAATCATTAAAATCTTTTTCTGATAAATGGAGAGAGAACAGAAGAATCTCTGTAAGAGATTCTCTGCTTATTAAGCATCAAAATGCTTACAAGAATGGTCGAATCTGAAGACACTGTCAGGGGCTTTTTTACTATTTCAAACATGGGCAAACTTTTAGAATGCGCAATTACCAAATGTCTTTTGTAGCCTACATCAGTAGGTGTCTGTTCACTGTTTTTACCTTTCTAGAAGGATCTAGAATGTACTTCTAAAGACAAACTATGTAGCTTGAAGAACAGACAAAACATATTTCTGGTGGGACATGCGGATCTCAAGCTCTGGGTTTGGTCTGCTTATTCTGGTTATTTTACTTGGGTTGTTTTTTTCTACCTGACCAGGAGGACAAATTTCCTAAGAACCTTCTATCAGAACAGTTTAATAGCACAGAACCTGAGACAGACTGTATGCACTTGAAAACCACTTCTGACTTTTACTTTATGGTTATCTCAGACAAGTTTATTTACATGTTTCTATCTCAATCTCTTTATCTGCAAATTGTGGGTGATAGAGCTTACCTTGCAGGGATTAGAAAAGTACCCAGTGTACAAATAATACTCAGTATCTATTAGCATAGTTCTATTTTATTTTGTCATAAATTGATTAATATTTCTTTTTTCCCCTGTTTTTTCAAATACCAGTTTCAGATAACTTTCAATCTTGATTCCTAAAATAATGGATCAAATGATTTCTCTTGAAGAGAGAGGGAAAAAAAAATCTGTTCAGGCCATATGTCTTTCTCCCAAGTGAACTTACTAATTTTCTCTGTATGTTTGGGGAAGCTGATTTTTCACAGCAACCATTTATTGCATTGCAGGGTATTCATGAAGCAGTTCAGCTTCTAGTGCTAGTAAGGTCCCCAAATTACAAGTCAGTATAACTATGACAGTATACCTGAAAAACACTTAACCTACTAAATTACCTAGATCCTCTTCCTCTAATAGAATATAAATAAATTTATAATGGTTTGGAGAAAATAAAAGCATTCGTTATCACCAGAGTCAATCTGACAAAGGTAATTTTGTCAATCACAGGGTTTTGCCTTCAATCTGAACTGATCATATAGCTATGTGATTGGAAGTTAATATCAACAAAGTCAATTTAAAGTGATAGTTGGGTAGCAAACTCACTCAAGAATCTATAAATATGAATAGTTGGCATGAAGAATACTACAGAATAAAAAATATATAAAATTATCCTATTGACTCAGAAGAAGATAACTAGTTCTGTAGGTTATTTTGTTAAAAAATTAAAAAAAGAAATTGATGAACTAGCATGATAAATAAAAGATAAATATACCCAGACTGTTAAATAAAAGAAGAGACCCCTAAAGAGAAATCAGAATAAGGTGAAAGGACAACTAGTTAAGTTTAAATGAGAAGCATAGAATAACAGAAAGATTGCAAGGAATTTAAAATTTAATATTTTGTCTAAAATGCATGTAGGGAGCAGAAAATTAAAACATGGACATGGCCAAAAAATCCTGTCAGTATTGTAAGGCAGCGAAAATAGATAAATATTAAGATAAGGAAAACATTAGCTTTGCACAGTGGCAGTATCGTAGCCAATGAGGTTTATCTGAGGTACAATTATTGCTAATTGGAAACTTTTCCCAATACCCCGCCGTGACGACTTGAAATATAGTTTGCGTTGGCAATTTTTGGTAGTTTCTATGGGGACTGAATTTAAAAAAAAAAAGAAAAGAAATAATGAAAACATTAAAATGTAATTATGAGTGATAGAAAATGGAGACCTATGCTAAGCATTGTAGGTGCTCTTAGAAATAAATAAAAATATTTGAAAGAGGAGCATCGTAAATTCTTTAATCAGTGAGCAATTATACAGATCTTTTTCAAATTCTTTTGTAATAATCTCTAGTTAAACTGAATGTAACAACAATATGAATGAGGTCATTTTATGTTTTGGAAACATCAGTGTTCATTTGATGGGCTAGTATATGAGCAATGTACAGAAATACTATAGGTGTAGTGAAAAGAAGGGGTAATAATGGTATTAGCCACATTTGTGGAGGATCTGCCTGTGCCAGACGTCATCCTGAGCACTTCACACACACTGACATATTCAATTTTCAAAACACCACTAATCCTTAAAATAACAATATTAGTCAGGGTTCTCCAGAGAGCAAGAACAAATAGGAGATATACAGATATGTATATCTAGAATGGGATTTATTACAAGGAATTGGCTCATGTGATTATGGAGGCAGAAAATTCCTACAGTCCATTCTCTGCAAGCTGGAGACCCAGGAAAGCTTGTGGAATAAATTTCAGCCTAGATCTGAAGGTCTGAGAACCAGGAGTTCTGATGGTGTAAGTTCTAGTTCAAGGATAGGAGAAGACCAATGTCTCAGCTCAAATGGTCTGGCAGAGAAGGAGAATTCATCCTCCCTTTGCCTTTTTGCTCTATTCAGGCCCTCAGCAAGTTGGATGATGGCCACTCACACTGAGGAGGGCCAGCTACTTTACTCAGTCCACCAATTCAAATGCCCAGTCCTTCCAGAAACACCCTCACAGACATACTCGGAAATAATGTCTAATCAATTATGTAAGCGTCTTGCAAACAGTCAAGTTGGCATAAACAATTAGCCATCACAAACACCTACATTTCAGATGAGGAGACTAAAGAAAAGATATGATAAGAAATTTGAGAAAGGACTGCCTAGCTTTTGAAAGGAGAAGCTTGAATTTGTACCTGGCCTCTTGGGCTCCATCATTCATCCTTCTGATCAGAACTCACACAAGATATCACAAGACGGCATGCATTTTTCTGTAGCATCCTCTGGATGTGAAAGAATGTCTGACACATAGCAAGTCTTCATTAAATATTTTTAGAATAAATAAATGCATATTTTTACATCAACCTCATTATATTTTAAACAATTTATTTCACTTGCATAATCAATTATTAATGTTTAAACACTGAAAAATTGTACCCCTCACACATTCTATATACATTTGAACAGATCTTATTTTGTATAATTGGTGCTTTGTTAACAAATGGCATAGAAGTTTGTGACTATGAATTGTTCCATTAGTTGCTCGTTTTATCAAAGGGACTGCTGTCTCAAAATTTAATTTTAGAGATATAATTTGCCATCGTTGCTTTTACTTTATCTTTATCCTAATTTGTCTTAGTTTATTTTTCATTATTAAACCTCTTTATAAATTAATTGCACATTTCTTTTAAGAAACATACTGTTAGACGTTAGTTTTAACCCAATCTACAGCATTAAGTTCAACCATACTTCTTAACTAATGTGCATCTGTTACATATTGGTATATTTCAAAGAATTTGTTTATCTTTTTAAGGTATCATTTTAAAACTGTCTTTGACATGAAATTTTGTTTTATTAATAACTATCTTAAAACAACAAATACAAATAAAAACAATATTTCTATAATTATTAAAGCATAAAACAAAAGTGTAGTAGCTTGATTTTTCCCTGAAGGAAATTAGCAAAATTGAACTATCCCAGTGTCTACTTCTTATTTTTGTTAAAGTACTGAGGTTATATCTAGGAATGAATATTTTGCATGTTTTTCTGTTCAGAAATAAATCAGTCTTTTCCATTAGGCATCTATTATCCTCTAGAAGTATTCACCCACTGTAGCAAGGCTTCAGAAAAAAAAACTCTCTTTTTATATATATGTAATATATATGCTTTATATATATTATATATTATCTATACAAGACACACATATATAATATATATATATAATATTATTATATAAATATGTTATTTATAATATATATAAATATAATAAATTATATATAATAATATATATTTTATATATATGCTTCAAAACTGGGTTCTGACACTGAGCTTCTGACAATCAAAAGGGTCCACCATGAGAGGAAAAAAGCAACAAGTTCATGCCTGATTGAAAATTATAAAGAAAATATGGGGAAGAAAACAGGACCTTGCCTCTCCCCAGAGAAGGCTAGACAAGAATCAGCTACATCAGGAGAGAGAGAAGTGTTGCCAAATGACTTTGAAGAAGGACAAAGATTAAAGACCAAATGACTAAATTTTGACCAAAGAGAAAAATGATTTTTTTTCGAGGAATATCCCTCTATCTTGTGATTAGATGTGACTCTATTTTCCTATTCAGCTATATTTTAAACTCTTTGCTAACATAATTATTAAAGTGTATAGATATTCTCTTTCTATACAATATTCTTACTTCTTCCCTCACTGTCTACTTCCTTTTTTCTCAGTGCTTTTCAACTTAAAAAAAGCTTGTCCTCACACAATAAATCAACTCTAAATTTGTCATGAGAAGTCAGACATAGGAAAAAAAGAGGAAAAGCCTTCAGAAGCCAAACAGCCATAATAAATTGAATAAAATCCAGAACTAAAGGAAAATATTTGCAATCTGGATTAGAGTAGGGAATATCATCTATTCGCTTCAAGCATTATGAAAGAGATTATAAAGTAATTGGTTATGGTTAAAACTTGAAAGTTGCCCATGGAATGTGGGACACTGAATTTTTAAAGTAAATGAAAGGCTCGGGATATGGTCCAATATGAATATAGCAGACAAAGCTGAAGTTTAAGAAGCAGTTCAACATGTTCCGCAGTCTTGAGAATATTTCTGCAAGTATTTAGCATCCAGCTTCCAATTTGAGGCAGAAATTTCATCTTATTCATATTCAGTCATCATATCCATGCCTTGTCTTTTGACTTTCACTTTCCTCAGTTTGATATATATGACTATACTACAGGAAGATATATATTAAAGTATCAAATACATAAATAGATAATATATAATAGGATGCATAATAGGATACATGAAATATAATATACAAACACACACGTCTATTACATATTTACATAATTACTACCTACATAATTATACAGAATTAATTAAACTATGTTATGTTTAGGAACAAGTTATATAATTATTAGATAAATATGAGTGTTTAATATTTTAAATGCCTCTGACATTTTAAATAATTTCATTTATAAACATATTAAGCACATTAAATTCGCTGATCCAGTGTGCTTTTCAGAAATTCATAATTATGTTTAGATAATTTAATTTGAAATATATGAGATCTTTCTACTTGAAATATATGAGATTATGATTTAGTTTAGTTCTTACTGCCTCCCTCATGCACATATTTGCAATATTTAACAATAATTTACTAAATGTATGTAATTTTAGTAAATATACCAGAAATTTTTCCTTATGAGAATTGTATATATGCCATGCCAAAAATGTAACTGCTTGAAATAGTCAATAAATTAAATTTGAATTTGTAGTTTACAGTATGTAAGATCATTTGTTGTTTCCCTTTTGCATACCCAGGAACATCACTAAAGCAATTCTCTTTCACTATTTGTTTTCCATTGTTTTTCCTTTCTTTCTTTTCATCCCCAGATATTTACTTTTTCCACATTGATAAACTTTCTTCACTTGACTTCCAGGTAATTACACTTACTTGTTTTTTTTTCTTTTGACATCAATTCTTTTAATTTTTATGTACCCCAATACCCAGTACTCAGAATTCTCCTTTTTTCTATTTATATTCATTCTCTTGATGTTCTCCATATAATACTGAGTCAGTCTGCAACATTTTGGGCCTCGGTTTTCCATCTGTAAAATGGAGGTAACAATACCAATTTTATGTAATTGTGTGAAATAACGAAATTAACGCATATTTAGAAAAATACTTAGTATAGATTCTGGCTCGCTTATCATGAGTCATACGTATGTTCTGCTGTTATTAATACTGATTGATCAGTCATCTAGGCTCAAGGCTTAAAACACCTTTTACAGATTGATGACTCCCAAATTTCTATCTCTGACTCGGACCTCTCTCCAACTCCAGACTCACATATGAAATTTCAGGATCAATATTTCCACTTGAGTGCATAAAGGGCATCTCACACATAATAAGTTTATAATTGAGCTCTTACATTTCCCTGTAAACCTGTTCCTCTCTTAGTCTTTCTTAGTTAATTGCAACTGCACCCAAAAACTTGGAGTTGTTTTTTTTTCTCTTTCTTGTAAATCCTACAGCCAACCCGTCAGTAAATCCAACCAGATTTACCTTCAAAATATATTTAGACTCTCACCTCTTCTTATCACTTTGCTGTCGCTACCCTGGTCCAAAACACTACCATCTATCATCTAATAGTTTCTCGTTAGCAGAGATAAGAAAGAGCCTGAATTTTGCATACCATTTTATTTCATTTTTATTGTACCTAATTGTATTTGGCAAAAATATCAATCTATGATAAATTGGAGAAAGATTAAAAAATTGAGTCCTTCACCAGAGACCAGTTAGAAAGCACTGTGACCACATACAATAAAAAGTGGTAGATAATTCATATGGGTAAAATTAAGTTTGAATGAGAATAAAGAATATGAGCATCAGAAGGAGGAACTATAATTGTATTTATTTTTCCCTTCAATTTCTTGTTTTAAAAATTATTTTAAATACAAAAAAAGCTGAAAGTAGACTTAATACCCAGATTCCTTCAACTTTTAACAATTGTTAAGATTTTGCTTACTTGTCTTATAGTTCTCTATAAATAAACCTATGCATCATTTTTCCGTAAATATAAAAATAAGATATCATAACACATAAAACATTTGACATGCATTTCTAAAAAATGAGGGCAACCTTTTTTCAAAGGTACAGTACCATC